CTATTCCTCCCACTGACACCAATGATGGGGCACTATTCCTCCCACTGACACCAATGATGGGGGACTATTCCTCCCACTGACACCAATGATGGGGCACTATTCCTCCCACTAATACTAATGATGGGGCACTATTCCTCCCACTAATACCAATGATGGGGCACTATTCCTCCCACTGACACCAATGATGGGGCACTATTCCTCCCACTAATACCAATGATGGGGCACTATTCCTCCCACTGACACCAATGATGGGGCACGATTCTTCCCACTGGTGTGCATTGGAAGAGGGGTAGTCTTATACGGCGAGTATAGCCCAAACACTATAGTTTAACAGGAAAAGTAGGGGGTCGTCTTATACGCCCAGTCGTCTTATACGCCGGAAAATACGGTATATACATTTTTTTCCTAGGTGCAACAGCACCCTTTTTTCTTTCAAACATATACATATAAATGTTCTCTTATCTCATGAAGAGGATGAATGAAAGTTTAACTAGATACTCCTTGGTTTGTTTATGGCAAAACTGCTCTCTTCACCATAAACAAGTACACTATAAATATTTAAAGACCCTTCCCAATCTAATCAGGATTTTACAATGCAGGTTGATTTGCACATAACCAGCCCTGAAACTCCCTCAGACTCTTCACATATTTACCCCAAAACAGGTTAACCCAACATAACAAAGGTAAGGTAATTTACCTTGTGCATAAATTAACATAGTATCCTTTTAGTCACCTGGAGCCCCCCCAGAAGCACAGACTACCTGGCTAGATAGTTTTGGACTTGGTGTTATCCTCCTTATCCCATATGGAGTATCATTTATACCTGAACAATATTTATTCAACCGTGCCACTATGTAGACATTTGTACAATCTTGGAAACGGCGACCTAATCGCCGGGGCTTCGCCCAATGGCTTGTAACCCAGCTTAGAAAGGGGGAAAAAGCCTGCTTGAGAACTCATGAATTGCTCACAGTGAAGTGCAAGGACAAACAGGATGTTTTCGTCCTGTCTTCCATTCATGCAGACAGGACCATCCAAATTGCCATGGCAGCTGGTGTTGTAGAGAAGTCCCTCTGTGTTCAGGACTATAACCTTAACATGGAAGGGGTGGACTTCAATGACCAGATGATGAAGCCAAACTTAGTTTCCCAAAAAGTCAGATGCTGGTACAAAAAAAGTGTCTGTTTATTCCAGTTGGCTCTATACAACGCTTTTGTGCTTTACAAAGCAACTGGGAGGTAGTGGATCCCTCCAAAAATTCCAGGAAGAGATCATCACCGCCCTTTTGTATCCAAAAAGTGCTGGTCAGGAATGGATTCACCATTGGCGGTGGGACTCACCTGCCGTGTGGGCTGTAGTACCAGGGCTGGCCAGCGGGTGCTCTCAGCAGCCAGAAGCTCACTCCTGCAATCAAGCCATCACCTGAGGCTGATTGCAGGAGGTGTATTTAAGGAATGGCCAGGCCTGCAGTCAGTGCCTTGGTGTATTGTTCCCATGAGCCCCTGTACCTGCATCCTGTCTGCTTCCTGCCTTATCCTGACTCTGCTTGAACTCTGCCTGCACCGACCTCGGCTACTCCTGACCAATCTTCTGCCTACTCCTTGTAACTTGTCTGCCCGTTAGCTACTGACTCGGCCCGCCTGACTACGTTGTGCTCCATATATATATATATATATAATCAGTTTAGGTTTGGGTTTGTTTCACCTTGTTGTATGTATTTGTGTTAGCTTTGGGTTTGGTTTGTTGCACTGCGTTTATGTTTGTGTTGTCCTTAATAAATTATCTTGTTTACATGCTATAGCTGAAGTCTGTGTTTTCCCTGTGTCGGTCCACACGCCTCTGGTCATTCCCAAAGCCCTGACAGTGCTATGGCCCAAACCCCCAACCCAGATGCAGTTAGCCAGCTGCATGAGATACATTTTCCCGATGCCATTCCCGGTACCCCAACCCAAAGGACACCCCAAAAAAGATGTCATGTCTGTAGCTGACCCAGAATTGGGCGTGACTTGCTTTTTTTTGTCCCTCTGTCCTGGCCAACCTGGTCTCTGCCTCAAGGACTGCTTCCGTCACTACCATACACTAGTGGACTATTAGTATAGGGCACGGCACAGTTCAGGGCACATATTTGCACAGGGTCTTGAAAGATGTTAGGTAGTCAGGAAACTAGCTATCGCATTTTGAGAGACCCTACAATCTGATTAAGGTTAAACACTTCACAACCGCGCTATAGCCAAATGACGGCTACAGCGTGGTTGTCCAGTTCTGGGAGGGCATCATATGATGTCCTCCCAGAATGTGCCCTCCCTTTTTGGAAAGTAGACACCCCAAATTATTTGCTGAGAGGCATGTTGAGTCAATAGAAGAATTAATTTTTTTACCACAAGTTTTTGGAAAATGACTAAAAAAAAATTTTTTTAACATAAAATTGTGAGAGACCCCCAAAATCCAATAAGCACGTTCAGGCTTTTACAGAGCTTTATTTCCTCACTACACTTCCTGACTACCTATCACAGCTTCAGAGGCTCTGAAATGCCAGGATAGCACCCCCCCCCCCCCCCCCCAAATGACCCATTTTTGGAAAGTGGACACCCCAAGGAATTTGATAAGACGCATGGTGAGAATTTTGCAGATCTTGTTTGTTGCCCACAAGTTTTTGGAAAATGAAGAAAGAAAACAAAAACGCATTTTTTTTCCAAACCTTTTGAGAAAAAATTAGATGTGCAAAATACTCACCATGCCGCTTATTAAATTCCTTGGGGTGTCTACTTTCCAAAAAGGAGTCATTTGAGGGGGTTTGGTGCTATCCTGGTATCTCAGGGCCTCTAAAACTGTGATAGGTAATGAGGAAGTTACGCACCTTCAGGCTTTCAAAGTGGTCATTGGATTTTAGGCTCCTGTATGTGGCTAGGCTTCCAGAAAGTCTCACATAAGTGGTATCCCCATACTTGGTAGAAGTAGCAGCATGTATTTTGGTGTGTATACCCATGGCATGTGTGATTAATATATCATTTAAGAGACAACTTTGTGTAAAAAAAAATAGTTTAGGGTGTCTACTTTCCGAATAGGGGTCATTTGGGGGTGTTTGTACTGCCCTGGTATTTTAGTACCTCAAGAAATGTGATAAGTAGTCAGGAAGTAAACATTGTGTAAATTCCAGTATCTATACCACAGTTTGTAGATGCTAGAACTTTCACACAAACCAATGAATATGCAGTTATTGGGATTTTTTTCACCAAAGACATGTAGCAAAGTATATTTTGGCCTAAAGTTATAATGAAATTTGAGTTTATTGGATATTTTTTGACAGAAATTAGAAAATATTGTTTTTTTTTTTCCAAAATGTTCAGTCTTTTTTTGTTTATAATGCAAAAAAAAAAACCCCCAAAAACCCAGAGGTGATCAAATACCACCAAAAGAAAGCTCAATTTGTGGGAAAAAGGACATAAATTTCATTTATGTACAGCATTGCATGACCGCACAATTGTCAAACTAGTGCAGCGCTGTATAGCAAAAAATGGCGTAAATTCCAATATCTATACCATAGTTTGTAGAAGCTATAACTTTCACACAAACCAATTAATTTACATGTATTGGGATTTTTTTTTAGCAGAATACATTTTGGCCTACATTTATGACTACCTTTGAGTTTACTATATATTTTTTATAGCCAAAAGTAAAAAAAATCTTTTTTTTTCAAAATTTTCTGTCTTTTTTTGTTTATAGTGCAAAAAATAAAAAGTGCACAGGTGATCAAATACCATTGAAAGAAAGCTCTATTTGTTTGAAAAAAAGGACATAAATTTCATTTATGTATAGTGTTGCATGACAGCACAGTTGGCAGTTAACGCAGCGCCGTAAAAAAAAAAAAAATGGCCTGGTCAGGAAGGGGGGGGGGGGGGTAAATCCTCTGGAGGGCAAGTGGTTAAAACTGAATGCTGTCCTATAGGTCATTTATGTACCTCATGAAGCCTGACTGGAATACTCCCAAGACATTGCTAAAAGAGGCCTAGCCATTACTGCTCACCTCCACCATCACAGGGGTGAGTTTCCAGACACTGAGCTCAAAGCTACTGCATCAGGGGAGAGAGAGAGAGCATGTGAGGGAGTCTGATTCAGAGAAAAAGCTCACTCCTGTGAAGGTGGAGGTGAGCAGTAATGCCTAGGCCTCCCTTAGTAACATCCTGGGAGTATTCCAGTCAGTGAGGGAGGATGTAAAAGGCCTACACCAATAGCAAGGCCATTATTCAACTTTAGTCAGAGCTGCACAGTTTTTTTTATATCTACAGACATTACTTACCTGCATAGGTATTGTTTTTGCAAAGGTGAAGGTATTGTTAATAGCAATATAGCCCCAAGAATTTAAAGTAGAATTGAAAGCAAAATTTTTTTTAAGTTTTTGGGCAAAGTAGGGTTATAACCCCCACTGAGGGGACGTCCCTTCACTTCCTGTCCCATAGCCAAAACCGGAAGTGAGAAAATCCCTCTGAAGACAGATAACCCCTGATCACCAGTACTAGTGTCCCCATTGGAAGATTTCCCCTCTATTTATGTTTGGGTGACCACGTAAAACTTGGACTTTTCATTTACTTTCAGTGAGAACATTCACCAGGTCCAATACAAAAGGCGAATCTCCCGAATGGGGACACAAGCAGCAATGAAATCAGGGCTTCTAGTCCCTCTATCAAAAACTAATACAGATTTGCCTTAGGTCATACCTCACATCTCCACTAACGATGCAATTACTGAATAAACGTGTCAGCCCTTTCCTCAGACATTAGCTTTGTATGTACACCGCGCATAGGCAACCACCTGACACAGCTCTTACCCTGTGACTGGAATACACAGCCCACAACAAAAAGGACCGTCTCGGCTAACCTGCCCTTAGATGGGCGGATCCACTTCCTCCGCGCCTCCCGCCGTCAGCCTACCATTCCTACGCAGCGTGCTGACGAACGGTGGGCGTAGCTGAGACAGGAAGAAGCGTGTGTAAATTCGGAAGTCGGAGTCCAGCTGCAGGAGAGAGAGGATTATCCTTGGGAGGAACGGTAAGCGGTGATCAGCTGTGAGTATGGCAGTGGCGGTACATGTCTGGGACCCCAAATAATGTGTGTGATGGGCTGGAAGCGGTGTAGTTTATATTGGCTGTGATCATACATGTCCACAATAAATACATAACACAGGCATTGCTGGGTAACAAGGCACTGTGGTGTGGAGGGGCAGTCATTACATGTTAGGGGTGCTTAGCCTGTGGCCTCAAGCTATGTGCTGGTGGGTTGACAAGCCCAGATCGCGGGGTGCCGCACCCGACTGCACCCCGCAGTCCTAGAGCATCAGAATGCATGGAGTCGGCAGTGGAGGAAACGAGTCGCCCAAGCCTATGCTTTCTTTGTAGCGCCGCCTCGTGTCCCAGATGGAGTGATACCAAGTGTACTTTGCTTAGGATGGTGGTGGGGAACCTATGGCACGTGTGTCCACAGATCCCTCTCTGTTGGCAACACGAGCCAAGTTGCCCCAGCAGCCGAGCATGGGCAAACCGCACACATAGGAGCCATGCGCATGCTCAGAAAGGAGTAGCGGTGCCAGACTCCTTAGCTCAGGGGGTGGGCAAACTTTTTGACTTGAGGGCCGCAATGGGTTCATATAGTGGACCCGGGGGCCGGACCAAGAGTAGATGAGTGATGTGTATGTGTCCTCCATAGTAAGTATAGTAATATTCCCCCATAGTAAGCATAGTAATTCATCCCCCACATAGTAATTCATCCCCCACATAGTAATTCATCCCGCACATAGTAATTCATCCCGCACATAGTAATTCATCCCGCACATAGTAATTCATCCCCCACATAGTAATTCATCCCCCATATTAAGTCCCCAAGTCCCCCCTGTGTCAATTCACTTACCTTTGCTCCGCGCGTTCCTTTCGCCGTTCCGGTGTAGCATGAAAATCTGTCTCCTATGAGGATCTGTCCCCCTCGACGTATCTGCGCATGTGCCAGTTTCAGGCATTAGCAGCCGATCGGCGATCTCCGGCACATGCACAGATATGTCGAGGGGGACAGGTTTTCATGCTACACTGATCTTCAGGGCGGACTCTGAGAGGAGCCTAGCGGGAGCCTAGCTCCGCGGGCCGGATTAAAAGGTCCGCCGGGCCGTAGTTTGCCCATTGCTGCCTTAGCTGCTGCTCTTTCGAGCTTTCGCATTGCTGGTCGGTGTGCTGCCAAGGATATATATATATATTGGACTGGCTGTGAGTTTTTACTACATTCACTCTTATTAGCACAAGATTTTTAGCTTGTGGTCAGTGGAGGTTTGCCCCCCTCTGTGTGCTGGTGGTCGGTGAAGGTTTGCCCCCCCCCCTCTGTGTGCTGGTGGTCGGTGGAGGTTTGCCCCCCCCCCCTCTGTGTGTGCTGGTGGTCGGTGGAGGTTTGCCCCCCCCCCCCCCCCCCCCCCTGTGTGTGCTGGTGGTCGGTGGAGGTTTGCCCCCCCCCCCCCCTCCCCTCTGTGGTGTGCTGTGTGTGCTGGTGGTCGGTGGAGGTTTGCCCCCCCCCCCTCTGTGTGTGCTGGTGGTCGGTGGAGGTTTGCCCCCCCCCCCCCTCTGTGTGTGCTGGTGGTCGGTGAAGGTTTGCCCCCCCCCCCTCTGTGTGTGCTGGTGGTCGGTGAAGGTTTGCCCCCCCCCCCTCTGTGTGTGCTGGTGGTCGGTGAAGGTTTGCCCCCCCCCCTCTGTGTGTGCTGGTGGTCGGTGAAGGTTTGTTTGCCCCCCCCCCCCCCTCTGTGTGTGCTGGTGGTCGGTAAAGGTTTGCCCCCCCCCCCCCCCTCTGTGTGTGCTGGTGGTCGGTAAAGGTTTGCCCCCCCCCCCCCCCTGTGTGTGCTGGTGGTCGGTGAAGGTTTGCACCCCCCCCTCTGTGTGTGCTGGTGGTCGGTGAAGGTTTGCCCCCCCCCCTCTGTGTGTGCTGGTGGTCGGTGAAGGTTTGCCCCCCCCCCCCTCTGTGTGTGCTGGTGGTCGGTGAAGGTTTGCCCCCCCCCCCCCTCTGTGTGTGCTGGTGGTCGGTGAAGGTTTGCCCCCCCCCCCCCTCTGTGTGTGCTGGTGGTCGGTGAAGGTTTGCCCCCCCCTCTGTGTGTGCTGGTGGTCGGTGAAGGTTTGCCCCCCCCCTCTGTGTGTGCTGGTGGTCGGTGAAGGTTTGCCCCCCCTCTGTGTGTGCTGGTGGTCGGTGAAGGTTTGCCCCCCCCCCCTCTGTGTGGTGTGCTGTGCTGGGTCGGTGAAGGTTTGCCCCCCCCCCCCCCCCTCTGTGTGTGCTGGTGGTCGGTGAAGGTTTGCCCCCCTCTGTGCGTGCTGTCCCCCCCTCTCTGGTCGGTGAAGGTTTGCCCCCCCCCCCTCTGTGTGTGCTGGTGGTCGGTGAGGTTTGCCCCCCCCCTCTGTGTGTGCTGCTTTGGTCGGTGAAGGTTTGCCCCCCCCTCTGTGTGTGCTGGTGGTCGGTGAAGGTTTGCCCCCCCCCCCCCCTGTGTGCGTGCTGGTGGTCGGTGAAGGTTTGCCCCCCCCCCTCTGTGTGTGCTGGTGGTCGGTGGAGGTTTGCCCCCCCCCCCTCTGTGCGTGCTGGTGGTCGGTGGAGGTTTGCCCCCCTCTGTGCGTGCTGGTGGTCGGTGGAGGTTTGCCCCCCCCCTCTGTGCGTGCTGGTGGTCGGTGAGGTTTGCCCCCCCCCCCTCTGTGCGTGCTGGTGGTCGGTGAAGGTTTGCCCCCCCCCCCTCTGTGTGTGCTGGTGGTCGGTGAAGGTTTGCCCCCCCCCTCTGTGTGTGCTGGTGGTCGGTGAAGGTTTTGCCCCCCCCCTCTGTGTGTGCTGGTGGTCGGTGAAGGTTTGCCCCCCCCCCCCTCTGTGTGTGCTGGTGGTCGGTGAAGGTTTGCCCCCCCCCTGTGTGTGCTGGTGGTCTGTGAATGTTTGCCCCCCCCCCTGTGTGTTGTGGTGGTGGTGTGAAGGTTTGCCCCCCCCCCCCCCCTCTGTGTGTGCTGGTGGTCGGTGGAGGTTTGCCCCCCCTCTGTGTGTGCTGGTGGTCGGTGAAGGTTTGCCCCCCCCCCCTCTGTGTGTGCTGTTGGTCGGTGAAGGTTTGCCCCCCCTCTGTGTGTGCTGGTGGTCGGTGGAGGTTTGCCCTCCTCTGTGCGTGCTGGTGGTCGGTGGAGGTTTGCCCCCCTCTGTGCGTGCTGGTGGTCGGTGGAGGTTTGCCCCCCTCTGTGTGCGTGCTGGTGGTCGGTGGAGGTTTGCCCCCCTCTGTGCGTGCTGGTGGTCGGTGGAGGTTTGCCCCCCTCTGTGCGTGCTGGTGGTCGGTGGAGGTTTGCCCCCCTCTGTGCGTGCTGGTGGTCGGTGGAGGTTTGCCCCCCTCTGTGCGTGCTGGTGGTCGGTGGAGGTTTGCCCCCCTCTGTGCGTGCTGGTGGTCGGTGGAGGTTTGCCCCCCTCTGTGCGTGCTGGTGGTCGGTGGAGGTTTGCCCCCCTCTGTGCGTGCTGGTGGTCGGTGGAGGTTTGCCCCCCTCTGTGCGTGCTGGTGGTCGGTGGAGGTTTGCCCCCCCTCTGTGTGTGCTGGTGGTCAGTGGAATTTCTGTTATTGTGTGTTTTTCTTTTAAGACAAATGTTAACGTATGGGTTATTTTTTCTAAACTAATACCTCAGTATTCCGGTTTAATTGCAGTGTTGGCACTTTGCGATTAAATAAGTGGGTTTTGGGTTGGTTTAGGCACTCGGTCTCTAAAAGGTTCGTCATCACTGGCCTAGGACCTTTCTATCAGCCTAGTGATGCCTGCAAAAGCTAGAATAGAAAAAGGTCAGTTTGTTAAAGTGACATTAACCACTTGCCCTCCAGAGGATTTACCCCCGTTAATGACCAGGCCTCTTTTTTGCTACTCGTGTGCTGCACTAATTCAACTGATAATTGTGTGGTCATGCAATGCTGTACCCAAAGGAAATTTTCATCCTTTTTTTTTTTTTTTTCACACAAATAGAGCTTTCTTTCGGTGGTATTTGATCACCTGTGCACCTTTTTAGTTTTCCCACTATAAACAAAAATAATACCGAATATTTTGAAGCAAAACAATATTTTTTACTTTCGGCTATAAAAAATATATAGTAACCTCAAAGTTGGTTATAAATTTAGGCCAAAATGTATTCTGCTACATGTTTTTGGTAAAAAAAAATCCCAATAAGTGTATATTGATTGCTTTGTGTGAAAGTTATAGCATCTACAAACTATGGTATAGATAATGGAATTTACACAGCTTTTACTTTCTGACTGCTCATCACATTTCTTGAGGTGCTAAAATACCAGAATAGTACAAACACCCCCAAATGACCCCTTTTCGGAAAGTACACACCCTAAGCTATCTGCTCAGAGGCATATTGAGTCCATGGAAGATTTTTTTTTTTTTTTTTTTTTTTTTTCTCCCACAAGTTTCTGGAAAATGACAAAAAAAAAAAAATATATATAATTATTTTTTTACTCAAAGTTGTAATTTAAATGATATATATATTTTTTTTTTCCTTCAAACACAATTAATAAAAAAAAAATGTTTTATTTCTTTAAAGCACAAAAACACAATATATTGGCCAATTATTTTGTAAAATATGAAAGATGATGGTATGCCAAGTAAATAGATACCAAACATGACATGCTTTAAAACTTTGCATGCCCCGTGCAATGGCGACAAACTGCATACGTTTTTAATATCCATAGGCAACATTTTAAAAGCCTTTACAAGCTACCATTTTAGATTTACAGAGAAAGTCTAGTGTTAGAATTAGTGCCCTTGATTTGATGTTCACGGCGGTACCTCACATGCATGGTGCAGCCGCTGTTTACATACCGATATAGGGTCAATCTTGCGTACACAGGTGTGTGCGGGGCGGGCACAAGGGTGATTTTTTTTTTTTTTTTTTTTTTTTTTTTTTTTTATCACTTTTAATGCTATCACAGGGAACGCAAATATTCCCTATAACTTCATCAGGCATTGTCATGTATTCTTTTTTGAGAAATCTGGGGTCTATCAGACTCTAGCTATCTCTTCTGC